AACCACAGAATAACTTATCACCTGGAGGAATGCATAAGAAACTCTCTCTCTCTCTCTCTCTTTCTCTTTCTCTCTTTCTCTCTCTCTCTCTCTCTCTCTCTCTCTCCATATCTATACGTCTATCTATCCATCCATCTATCTATTTGTTTATCTATATATTTTCTCTTCAGATTCTAGAAATATTTTATGTTTTGGGAATCACCCCTTATATTTGGGTTAGTATCATTTTCCTAACTTCATTTTTGTCCAGCTGTCTAATTCCTTCCCAAAACCATTATTTCTCCGCTCGCAAACACTGTATTTTCCAAATCACATCATAAAAGTTCCCCTTGCTATTACCATTACAGAAATAACCTCCGCAGCCATTGGTAGCAACTGTAGCTTCCCTCCCTCCCTCCTCTCCTTCCCTCCCTCCCTTCCTTCCCCTCCCTCCCCTCCCTCCCTCCCTCCCCTCCGCCCCCCTCCATCCCTCCCTTCCATTCCCTTTCTCTCTTCCATTTGCCCTCTCCTCCCTCCTTTCCCTTCCCTTCCACCCCTCAAAACCTATCCACCCACCCTCCCTCTACCCCGTCTCTCCTTCCTCACTCCCTCCACCCTATCCTTCCCTCCCTTATTCTTCCGCTCCCCTACCCACTCACCCTCCCTCTTCCCTCCTTCCCTCCTCCAGTCCCTCCCTCCCTCCCTCCAGGCTGGAGCCAAAGCAATAATCTCCCTGGGTCATTGAGGCGAAGGGAGCACGGCTAGGCCACACCCTCCCGCCCTCCTCGCCCCCCTTCGCCCCCCCCCCATTCACACTCCACCCTTCTTCCTCCGGACGATCGGGAGGGAATCCAATAGCCTTTCGAAGCCGCCGGTTCAACGAAGACCTCGGGGAAGTCTACGGGATCTTCGCAGGATATTCAGTCACGCTGTGGAGGCAGACACACTCATAAACATAGACACACGCAAGCATATATATGCATATATATATACATATATATATATATATATATATATATATATATAAATATATATATATATATATATATATATATATATATATATATATGCATACATATATATACATATATATATATATATATATATATATATATATATATATATACATATATATATATATATATATATATATATATATATATATAAACATACACACACACACACACACACACACACACACACACACACACACGCACACACACACACACGCGCGCGCACAGTTATTTAATTCTCAGTCTTAAGCCATGCCCCTTGATCTGCATTTTCAAATTGTCAAATGATGGCAAATCCACGCCTCCGAAAAACACCAGCCCACGCCCACGTCTCGCTGATAAATAGATCGCGTCGCCCTCGCCCGAAAAGGTAACAAGTCTCTCTCCTTCTTCCTTCAAGAAATTTGTGAAAGCCAGCAGTGAAGCTCGAGAGATTTCAGAGCTCGAGGATGAGGGGAGAGGGCTCGAGGATGAGGGAGAAGAGCTCGAGGATGAGGGGGGAGAGCTCTCTATCTCTCTTCCTCCAAGAAAGTCGTGAAAGAAAGCAGTGAAGCTCGAGAGATTTCCTTTTTCCTGAACATTTGGCGCCGAAACTGGCCTTTTCCGCGTGGGAGGAGCCGCCCGCCTCGCAAGAAAAGGCCGAGGATGAGGGGAAAGAGCTCGAGGACGAGGGGAGAGAGATCGAGGATGAGGGAGGAGAGTTCGAGGATGATGGGAGAGCTCGAGGATGAGAGGGGAGAGTACATCAGTGGGCGCGTATATATTCATTTATTTATTCATGTACATATCATATTTATTTATGTACTGTATGTATGTATATAAGTACATATATATGTATGTCAGCATGTATCGATGTATGGATGTATTTTTGTATGCACGGTGTGTGTGTGTGTGCGTGTGTGTGTGTGTGTGTGTGTGTGTGTGTGTGTGTGTGTGTGTGTGTGTGTGTGTGTGTGTGTGTGTGTGTGTGTGTGTGAGAGAGAGAGAGAGAGAGAGAGAGAGAGAGAGAGAGAGAGAGAGAGAGAGAGAGAGAGAGAGAGAGAGAGAGGCAGACTGACTGACAGAGACAGACAAAGAAGTGATGAAGACTATTAATCACTAAACCAGGCCAAACTACCAAACAGCACATTGACAGATAGAAATACTCATTCCCACCAATTCCACCCCAGTTAGGAAGGCCAGTCGAATAATACCCCCTGCAGTTAAATATGGCATTCTCCAAACAACACGCCGGCCGGACCCTCAACCTGACCTTTTACTTCCGTCCTGCTGTGAGGGAAAGGTCACTTGGTCAGCTACCGTGTTTACCCTGAGTCCCTTCTCGCCGCCTGCGCTGCCTGGGGTCTCCTTGCATGATGCCCGCGTCTTTGTTTAATGTGCAGGTGTGTTTCTCGTTCCCCTCCTTTCGTTATTTCACTTAATCTGTTTCGTCTCCTTTCGTTTTATTTTTGCTTTAGTGTATACAATTTCAACCGTACTTATTATTTAAGATTCACGAATCACTATCACGAGAGGAAATAGTTTCTCTCGAATGGATGCCAAGGAAGACCACGAGCCTTAGAGAAAATGAATTTGTTCAAGCTGGATTTCTCGCGGCCGAATTTCTCAATCCGAGGTAACGGACGCCGAACAGAGCTTGTCTTTCTTTTCTCTATTT